TTCCCACAACTTTGCTGCAAGGTTCCCAGAAGCTTCCCACAACTTTGTCCACGGTGCTTCAAGGGTCCTACAAGGTTCCCACAACTTTTTTGCAAGGTAAGGTTCCCACAACTTTGCCCCACAAGGCCCCCAAGGTGCCCACAACATCGTTCCACAACTTTGCCCCACAAGGTTCTTTCAAGGTTCCCACAGCTTTGCTCCAAGGTTCCCACGAGGTTCCCACAACGTGGCCCCGAGGTTCCCACAAGGTTGGTGGCGCAAGTTTCCCACAAGGTTCCCGCAAGGTTCCTAATCGACAGTCAAGGAAACGTCATCATACCTCAAGTCTATTTCATTGTGCTTCCTATACTGTTACCTTTTACCTTGCTAACCTTTTGGTATCCTATCCTCTTAGTTTCCTCCTGTTCTTCATTCGGGCCCCGAATCCAGTTTCGGGGCCCGAATCCACAGTCAAGGACACCTCATGATATTTCAAGTCTATTTCATTGTGCTTCCTACTGTTACCTTTTGCCTTGCTAACCTTTTAGTATCCTATCCGAATCCTTTTAGTTTCCTTCTGTTCTCCATTCGGGCCCCGAATCCGGTTTCGGGCCCCGAATCCACTTTCGGGCCAGTCAAGGACACCTCATCATACCTCATTGTGCTTCCTACTGTTACCTTTTACCTTGCTTACCTTTTAGTATCCTATCCTCTTAGTTTCCTCCTGTTCTCCAGTTCTCCATTCGGGCTCCAAATCCGCTTTCGGGCCCCGAATCCGGTTTCGGGCCCCGAATCCGGCTTCGGAGCCCCAATCCACAATCAAGGCAACCTCATCATACCTCAAGTCTATTCAATTGTGGTTCCTTCTCTTAACTTACTAACCTTCCAGTATTCTATTCTCTTAGTTTCCTCCTATTCTCGATTCGGGCCCCGAATCCGGTTTCGGGGCCCGAATCGACAGTCAAGGACACCTCATCATACCTCAAAGCTATTTCATTGTGCTTCCTACTGTTACCTTTTGCCTTGCTAACCTTTTAGTATCCTATCCTCTTTGTTTACCTTGCTAACCTGAAGAAAAAGTGTTGCATTTTGCGCTTAAGCTGTTGGGGATATTCTTTGGGCTTATTTTTTTGCAGGGTTCTTAGGAATTGTAAGTAAATGGATGCTGCATTCGTTTCCAGGAATCGTTAGAACTGCATATTTCTGGGGTTCAACTGCTTCTACTTGATAGGCTTCAGGTCGTGCTTGGAAAGAAGCACGTACGTTCGGCTTGGAGCCACATAATCATTTGCCCAGCCAAAATGGTCAGGGCGGTCTATGAGGAAAACTCTCAGTGAAACCCTCTTTAACCCCTGTTATGTTGACATAGTACATCCATCATGCGGGGTGCTGGGTCCAAAGACCCGAGCCCCGTTGTTTTCCGGGTGCTTTTTCCGGTCATGGCAGATACAATGGGACCCCCCTGGACCACAGAACATGAACAGAAGAGACTGCCAGACATGGTCCACCTGGTTCCGGGTTTTGACATGTCTTGACCCACCGCCATCCTTTTCCTCTCTCGGGATCTTTACAGAGAGGAGCCTCATTTAGAGGCTTCAGACTTCAGTTGCTCGCTCTGTCAGGTCGAGTCAAGGTCCTTGCTGCCTAGGGATCCACCCGTCTCCACAGTGGCTACTCAAGTGCTGTCACTTTCTGATGACGGTTTAACCTTTGTCCGCTGCATTCTACACTTCCACATCCGACAACACAAGCATGCGCCGAGTTCCAAACGCAATGGTATTCGATCAGAGATACGTATATATACCCCAGAACATCCCAGAGTTCTTCCACATATATTGCGAATGTGCTTTGGCGCTTGAAGGTGCTGTTCCATCTCCTGAGGGCTTCATGGATCACAGACCGTGCTGGCGTGCTCCGGTCTGAGGTTCATGCTCCGGCTACTGCTTCCGCCACTTCCTGAAACCTGACGCTGAAAGCGAGCTAGCCCTGCCGGAGCTGCTGAGCCAAGCTGTTGAGGGTAAAAGGGCAGGTGGGAGACACATGGTGATCGCCCTCCAATTGGGATGGTGTCTTCATTGATTGCAAGTCTATGAATAGCTCGTCAGAGTCTTATCGCCCCAGATCAACCAAAGATCCGCAATATATCATCCTCACGATGTAAGCCATGACTTCCTGTCACCCCATTCTCCCCTCTCTGTGCTTTGCACCCGTGTCTCTCCTTACGCCGCGACGGACCTGAGGTTGCCCGAGGATGCGGAGCTACGACGGCAACTTCCCCTGCACGGCCTCTTTCAGCTGGTGCTGCGCTTCGCCTATGCGAACCAGACCTTTTCGGTGCTCGAGAGCGAGGCGCAGATTTCTACCCGGAGCTGCGGCATGTTTGAAGGACAGAAAAGGAAGACATGGGAGTAGTTTGACTGGACGAAGTTAGGATTCCGGTTTTTTGGAAGAACGTGACGATATCAGTCTAGAGTCTATAGTCAAGTTTTGCCATTCCAACTTTACAGTGGATACGTTACGACATGTTAACGACAAAGGCCAATACTAGTGGAATCTAGTGGATGCAGTTCTCCACTGTTTTGGCGAGCCTCGCAAGCCTCGCGAGCCTCGCTGCTGAACGAGACCCCGTGAGGTCCTGGGGTCACAAGTGCCTCGCTGATCGAGAAACACCGGCACTCTTCGTATAACAATGAGGCCCTTCGAAGGCATCCCAGAGCCATCTATTCATTTAAGTGCTTGGATTCATTTCGAAGGCATATTAAATTTCAATATAGTTCTATATGGACGTGGACCTAAACGTCTTTGATTTGTGTTGTGATGTCTCTTGTTAAAAAAGGACCTTTGACATCCTTTGACTTACTTTTTGCGAAAGATCCGTGATGGGGTTCCTTGCAGCACATGCCGACTAATTCTCTTACGATGGGTCAGCAAAAAATGCGAAAGGTATGTATTGTAGTGTATGTATTCCAATGAAATTCAGCGTAATGCATGTAAAATATTGACACGTTTTTTGTTGGATGAATAACATCCATTCGAGGAAAAAAGAATTATTTTGTATTTCTTATCTTAATTAGTCACCATAAAGAGTTGGTGAGAAAGGTAGGAGGTTGATTTCAGCAATTCTTCGATGCCACTGCAAACCCATCATCAAGACGAGATTGGACATGCTTTTGACTCAACATGAAGACGGATATGGACGTGTATCTTGCAAACACTTGGCAATTTGGTTGCAACAGTGTTTGTTTCAGGTTCAACAATTTGCCATCTTGGCCAAATAGCTCATGCAAGTGCACCTTTAGCTGAGCTCACTTAGACTTACTGTACTTTCTTTCATGGCCTCACGGTTGGCATCCCAAGAGTGGCGAGGCAGTACTTTGAGCAACCCTATCATTGCACGGAGCTGGACCAGTAGGATGCCCAGAAAATCTCTAAAATGGGTTCCCTTTTCAAAAGGGAGACCCCCAATCAATAGGTTCAGGTCTATTTCAATATACGCCATTATACGCCCCAATGTGAAGTCGACGTCATTTAGAAGGAGGCGGGGCCGAAAGAAAGGTGGGCATGTGCACTATCCAGTTCTCTTTTGGAAGTCAGTGAATTGAGTCTGTGAATATGATCATTACGGTAGGCCGGCTGCCTTCCCAGTAGCAAATCAAGATTCGATCTTCCCGGTAGCAGTCTCCTGCTCACGTCTAGGCGCCGGAAATGTTTCCCGGTCTCTATGCCTTGGCCATGCTCTTGGAGGCAGGGCCGGCCGGGGCCGCCTGGGGCGAGGGGCCCAGATGTACTGTACTGAAAAACGTGGCCCCTTGCTTTTAAAGAAAGTCGTTTGGTTCGTGAATCCCACAAACCACTGTCAATCAGTCAATTCCAATGATTCAGGAGCCGAAGTTGGCAAAGAGTTTGCAACATTTTAGACGTAACGATCGGCATACACAGCCTTGCCATCACCGGAAAAACAAGAAAACAGTCCCATCCTCCTCCACTGCTCCTTTGTTGTTTGTTTGCCACTGCTCCAGGCGAAGAAGTTAGCTGAGGCCACCTACGAGGCGATGGAGCTTCGCCCAGGCGCGACTTCAGGTACCCATTAAACATATCTGATCTGGCACATGACTCATGACTCAGGACCCTAAAATAACAGGCGATACTTGTATGTACCCATTTTCCGCATTTTCTGGGGTGAGACTCCAGGTATGGGCGTGTTTTGGTGTTTGGTGGGGGGCCATCAGCGATCGGAGTGTCCTTCTTCCCAGGGGGGTGTTGGAAAGGTCTGATTGAAATACATCTAATTCTTGGAAAGTCCTTGCAAAGTTCTTGTAGTTTGTGGACAGTTCTTGGAAGTTCTTAGGGGTGTTTTCATTGTCCCAAATTTACACGCCCAATTCTTGCAGTAGCTTTCGAACGCTTCACCCCGAGTTCTTGCGGAGCTCAGGAGCCGCAGCCAAGCTGCTTTATGTCGCCTCACAGTTGGAAGGACAAGCAGAAACTGAGCTGCAGGGAGAGGAAGTTCCGGTCTTTTTCGGGTTGAAGTCTATTGTTCCCTAGGTCTCAAGTACCTTCTGAGAAGGTGTTTGGGGTGGTTTAGAGGGTCCAAACACCTTCTGAGGAGGTACTTGGAGCCCTAGGGGTTAGCTAACTTGTTGTTGTTGTGTTTGGTTGCGTTGCATCGGTGGGGAGTTGGGTGGGTTGATTGGTTGCTTGCTTGGTCGCTTGGTGGCCCATGCAGTGGACACCAAGTTCGTTTATACGTAATGGACCTAAGGGTGTGAGTGGATCCCGGATTTTGAGGTGAGCGAATTCCTTGTTGCTCCTGAATTTAATGGTAAACTATCCTCAATCACAAGGTTCAAACACAAGGAACTGCATGCGTAGTCCCCAATAAAGTTCTGGAGATGTGTATCTTTGGCGCATCAGACAAGCTTGAACTTTAGAGGATCAATGAGATTGTTAGTCTAGTTCTCCCTCTTTCACTAGTCACTAGTCGACAAAGCCCCAACCAAATCAAGGATTTGTTGCCCTCCTTCCAAGAAGTGTGGACAGTGGTTGGACTGTGGGTAGATGGGCAATCTCCCACTCCTACATTGATAAATCCACATAATTGCAAAAGAGCATGTGTCTCAGCTCCACTTGCATTTTTCATGAAAGCCCCTGCCATCCTCCCATGCCAATGACCTCAACTCCACAATAATTGTGAAAAAAAGGATCCGTCTGCCTTTTCTTGTGCGACAGCCCGAGGATTTCCAAACGGCGACCGCACGCTGCTTGGAGGTTCTCCGCCAAAACTTCGGCGAGCTTTGCTCGGGCTTCGGCGCCGACTTTGGCGCGGACCGCCCAGCGAACGTCCGAATGTCTGTCGCAAAGGGGGTGGGACTTCGGGAAAATCGACCCCGTTTAGTCATAAGTAGGTTTTGAGTTTTGGGGGGTGCTCCGAAAGTCTTAGATGGAAACCATTTCGTGGAATTGACTGGAAAAGTTCTTGTGTCTCAAGTGCAGATTGTTTTGTCTTCTTGGAAAGCATCAGCCCCTTGATGTCCCAAAGCCGAGAGCGGAACAACTAAAATAAGACCCCATTTGGCCAGCGAGCGTGGAGTGGGAGATCACAGATATTTGCGGGTATGGTGTCAGCCGAGACCTCAATCAGCAGCTACTCTTCGACATCTTGAGACTGGCAAGACAACAAGTTTTTTTCTTCGAAGATGAAGCAAGACTACCACTTGGCGGAGACCTCAATTCTCTTCTCACGGCGAAATTTTTCTCAGTTCCAAACCAAGTCGGACCCTGCCACGGTGGGGCAACCAGGGTGCAGCTCCAGGTTTACTCGCCAAGCTCCCAGTGAAGCTTTTGGTCACACTTCTGGAGGCGCTTTTTTACTGCGAAGAATGGGTGCTGCGAGGTTTTTCCTGGGCCCAGCTTCTCACCGATCAGTCTGTTTGGAAGCAAGATACATGTCACATGGGACCCTGGGATGCTCAGAATTGCAAGAACTTCCTTCTCGCGCCAAAAGAGTCGCCGAACCGGCATCAGGTCAACAAACGCTACATATGAGGAAACAAGTACAAACACTGCTGAGACTGACCAGAACAAAAAAAGCTCTACTTCCAGAGTATTGCTTATAGAGCCTCCGAGTATCCAATAAGTTGGACGGTTGTGTCAACAAAAGGTCAAGCAAGATATATGAGTGACCAAGAAGAAAAACAACATATTGCTACATGGTTGTGTCCCACTCTGGTTGAGTCATCATCCATCCAACCCATTTCGATGCTTCACTTGCACCAGTGCAAGCGCCGATTCGACGCCGTCCTCCTTCCGACCGAGGAGGATGACTTGAATGTTCCGACCGAGGAGACCTGCCTTCGCTTTGCCACCTGGATAGACGAGTCGGGTGTGTGACACACGGTGTGTGCTTCGTCGTGGTTTCCAGAGGTGTTGAAAAGAAATATACTGTAGTATATATAGTATATAGGATATAGTACTCTTTTGTTATATGATACTCATATATACATTGATGGGGTAGAGACATTTCTATCATGTTCATCCCTTTCTTTAAATGGCCGTTTCAGTGTCCAGTGAGAAGCAAGGAGACAAGTTTTGGATCGTTTTGGGGTGTTTCCTGTTCTCACCTCAGAGTTGTTGCAAGGAAAGATACCAGAACTATATATAACCATGTAGTTGGTAGCACACCAACCAACATTAAGAATAAGGGTGTTGGTTGGACAGGAACCGATGCCTCTTGGCATCACGGGTGATGGTACAGAGAGGTTTGCACATGCGTTTCGCAAATATGACTCTTTCTGTCATGATCCAACTCTTCTGCATTTCGATCTCACATTCCACCGTCCATCTGGCACCGCTCAGGTGCGGCACGTGCTGTGGCGCAGGCTGCCACGGCCAGAGAAGATGCTGACCCTGAGCGGCACCCTTGACGGAGCTGCAGAAGGCTTGGAGCTGCGATCGCAGAAGGAGATTCCCCCGTGAATGGGGTGGGTGCTCGTGGGGCCAACGCAAGAGGCAGTTGAGGAACCCAGGAATTTGAGGACTCTCCCGGGAAGCCTTCCAGGAATTGAAGGATTGAAGGACAATCCCACTCATTCAAAGAACAAGGAGCTCTTTTGGAACGAAAATTGTTGAAGGTAACGATGAACCGATGAGTTCGTGCGCTCCCCGGTTCAGGCGTACAGCTCATGTGGGAGTCGGTGGCCTTGGAGGAGTGTCAAAGCTGGTCTGACCCGATGTCTTTGGGGTTTGTTGCCCCTTTGGTCAATGGTCTTTTTTGGGGATGCACATGCATGGATGCACGTGCAGTGTAGTGTAGTTGCTTGTGTTGAGTTGAGACAGGCATTTGTTTGTGAGATTCTGCCAAACCTGACAAACATGAATGGTTGACCCATGAGCGAAGTTGGTTCTATTTGGTTTACACTAAAACCTTGACAACAAGAGTTCACTAGGAGAGGGACAACTTTCCCGGGCATAACACTCCAACTGATGCAGTCTCGCTGCCAAGTGGTTGCAGAGCTGTGGGAAGACCAGGGGCCATTTGACGTTCGTCATGCCGCGATATGTGGGACAGAGATGGCTGATGTTCTTGAGACGTTCTTTCTTGTGCAAGCTTACGATATATGAATGCATATCGTATAGTATACCTATGACCATCCATGACCTATGAAGCAATTGCCACTGAATAAATGTCCCAAGCATGAAACTCGGAGCCGACCTCGGGCCCGGGCCCAAAGCAGGGCACCACCATGTTAATCAGTTCTAGGTGGGCATTGGTTTAGAGATGTTCAGAGTTTAAACAAGAGATGTATGCAATTCGTTTTAATTCGTTCAGATGCACCACAACACACCAGTCTTGAGCAGCTCCAGCAAAGCACCAGTCTTGAGCATTTCGGGAGTTTGGAACCTTCGAACTCGCCCCAACTGGACCCGTTGTCGATCACTGCGAGGGTCGAGGCTGTTCCCCGCTGAAGTCGTAGTGGCTTGACCTACCGCCATGGTCGATTGGCCTATCGGCCATGACGATTCCGGGTACCCGGCCAGATGGCCCGAGACGTCTTCGGGGAGAAAGACACACGAAGACGTCTTCGGGGTTTCGAAATTGGAGAAATGCTAGGAATTTTAAGGGATTAGTCCTCATGAAGTGGAAGTTGTTGCAAGGTCCAAGAAAGTGGATGGCTTTTCTCTGCTCGTTGAGGAAAGCAGACTTCGCAGGGGCCGTGTTCCATTGTTGATCCTCCCGGAGCAGGGGCAATGACCCCCCACCTACCCGCAGCCAGGAGACCAGTAGTACGTCTCCACCAGTGGACCGCTACTCCGCCTCCGCCCAAAGTGAAGGCGGCCCGGATCAGGGCATCGCTGAAGTGCATGCAATACGACTATAAGAATTCAGATTGCACAGCATCGAGTTCTCCAAGATCATGCAGATTTGTATGATTTTGTGTGTTGTGTGCCTTGTTTCATAGGAATGAACTATAATTACTTATCTATAGAGCTTTAGGAAGTGAGTTTTCACAGATTGATGAGGATCCATAATATGTTGTTTCACGATCTCCATTGTGTGAAGGGACTCACTTGTTTGGTAGTTCATGTATTCAAGCCAGAGGATCTCATCAGCTTGCAAGTTACAATGAAAGTGTAGTGATCGATGTGTACATGGTGCCACCATGCAGATTTGCTTGGAAAATGAGTTTGCACTACTGGCATATTAATTAGAAAATCTTCATAGCAAGCATCAATGTGCTTCAAGTTCGCATTGACTCAACTACACACACACACAGAGTCGACCTCGTCCTCAGACGTCGGCCGAGTCGACGATTCGCGAGCGCAGGCGGAGCGATCCCAGAGCTTTCACATCGTGTGCCGGACCCCAAAGGGGGGAAGGGCGCGCTTTTGCTGAGAGCTCTAAGAGGAGAAGAGGCCGGCAGGGCAGCGCTGGGGGGCGAGCAGGTGGGAGCACGTGGGAGCAGTAGCGGTCTCTCAAGTGAGAGCTGGAGATGAGAGACAGATGGATGGGGTCATATGAATCTCATAAGGTCCAGGATGGTCCAGGTACCTCCTCTTCGAAGGGTTTTTGGAGGTGAAGTACTCGTACTTCCTCTTCGAATGGTCTTCCCTGGGGCCTACAGCAGGACATCCGAGATGGCCGGATGGTCACCCTTAGGGATCGGTGGGGAGGAGGAGATGTGATCTCCAAGAATGGACCACCTACAAGTCCAAAGACCCAGTGAAACCTGGTCCTTGAAATTCATTGAGCAATGTCTCTGTATGGCCAGGTTCAATCAAATGAAATCCTTGACTTGTATAGAGATTGATCTGTCTATGGCGGGCGTGTTGTTCTGCGTTGTATCCCCGAAATTGACGCCTGCCTTCCTTCGAAAGAAACCGAGTAAGCTGTATGTCAGAAAGGACGGCACCAGGGTTGTTTTCAGGCTTCCTCCGTTGTTGGAAAGCAGAGGAGTGGCAAGGTTGTTTGCTTCTTTTCTGGAATGTTTTTGGGGGAGGAAGGACCTTCAAACCATTCCACTGGCTCCACATCTCACCCAGGGCCGGTCCGGACCCGACCGGCGTGGACCGGTCGCGAGGTCTATCTTTCCGTGGAGCTTCCCATCCGCTGGGAGGATGAGCCGATGGGCGGACTTGTTTGACCTGGAACTGTGGAACAGTCTGAAAGCCTCGGTGGTTTCGTTGGTTTCTGAGAATCAGTTTGTTCCACGAAACCACCGAACATGCAAGTGAGACGACACAGTTCTACCCGAGAGCTGCGGTTTGTAGCGGAACAGAAGCTAGAGGAAACACCTTCTGTGTCACTCGGCAACCGGATGACTCGTTGGGGAGTCTTTCACTTTCAATACAGGATTCCTTGGAGGAGTACCCGACTTCTCGTTGCTTCCTGCCTTTCACCCACCTGTCCAGCGTAAAATTTGCGCAGAACTATTCCACAAGAGCCTTTGCACCATCTAGAATCTGCAAGGTTTCAACTCCTACAGGCAAGTTTTCTTTTGGTGGGGATTCATCTTCCTTTTTGAACATGGATAGATCATTTGCCCTTCAAGGGTCTTTGTTCATTGTATTCCTCCACAAATATCCTTAGGGATAGGGGCTCCAAAGTCAAATCAACTTGATGTTGATGTTCTAGTTGTCTTGAATCACCCTAAGCATGGTCTTTTTCCTATCAAAAGCAAGTTCCTTGGGGTTCGGTCTATATCATTGGACCCTCTGGACTGGAGGGTGGACCCGCCGGTCCAACCGATGTTCGGTTCGCCTCACTAAGCCAGGAGGCCTCCCCGGACGAGATGCAAGTCCAGGTTGGGATGGGACGGACCGGAGCTTTTCATCGTTTGGGACGGGACCGGACCATCCTTCATATGACTCAGAGGATGTCTCGGAGTCATAAACCTAAAGTTGTTGTTTCACCAAATCCCACACAAAATGCTCCCACAAAGAAAGGCTGTTCGGGGTTCCAGCGATATAGTGAGTCGACGATGTGAAGATGTGATCAAACAAGATGCAGTATGCTGCAGTTAAGTGGGAGAGAAGTCAAAGAACCGGTTAAATACATGTAACATGCATAGCGGAATATGACATACACATATATACACATAATTAATAAGGTCTGTCAACCTTAGCAATCTGCATTGCCAGCCAACTGTCAACCTGGAGTGAGTTATACATCTCCTCAAGGGATGTTTCCGGTGCCCACATTCAGTGTTTGATCCCAATCTAAACCAAAGTAAATTAAGATGGCAGTTCGAACTTGATTCGACTTGCTGAATGCATGAACTTGAACGAATGTGCATGTTGAACGAATGATCAGCCACAAACTCCCCGCAGCTCGATGTTGGTGTTCGCAACGAATGTTATCGCACTCCACACCCCAGCTCGAAGCCAGTCGAAAGTCTTTGCGTCGAGGCGCTGCAAGATGGGAAGCCTGTGACCATCCGATTCAGGTGAATCACCGGAGGGAGGAGGGGATTCGCTGCGTGGTGAATTCGACTGGTGATGATATGTCAAGTTCCGGCTTTGGCCACCAGGAGGTCAACCTACCAGAGTGAGTTCCGGGCTCCGGATGCAAAGAGGTTCCTCCAGCCCCAGACTTTGTCCATCACTCATGCGGAGAGGCTTTTCAATCCTACTGGGGCGGGGTTTGCTTAATCAACATGAGTTCTATGTGGGATCCACTCTGCAGAGCATACGAAGATTTGACCACGTCTATGGTGCGGGGAGAAGCTCCCCCTGGTTCCATTAGCCTGTAAAGGGCCTTTGGCTGGCCGACCATGAATCGAATAACCATGCGCACAGATGTTGTCATGTTGTCCATTGCTTATATACTTTACTAGTTTGTGAGGCCATCACTACAGGAACTGTCTCGCTCATTGCAGCATGTTGCAGCAATACAAAGGAGCTCGTGGAACCGAACTCAAGAAGGTCTTTGTGTTTGATCAGTAATAATATATAAATACATATATTAGTCATTGAATATACTCATCCTGCTTGTACCAGACTGTTCATTCATGATCGACTATGATCGATGTGCCTTCTTGCTGGGACGTGTGTTAATTGCTGCGACGAAAACCAGTGTAATTCCAAACAGTAGTGTTATTCCTACTTGTCTAGCGTGTTTTTTGCGCTTGTCCAGACTTGAGGTGTTTTTTTGCGTTGATTCTTTCCGCGCAATTCCAAACAGTAGTGTTGTTCCTACTTGTCTAGTGTGTTTTTTGCTTGTCATGATGGCCGTTCCATTGTTTGATGGCTGTTCCACTACCCAGTTCTCAGCGTTGCATCCCTTTTTTGTTTCTTTGAAAGTAATTCTTCTCCACCTCTATGGCGCAAGAGAGCTACCAACAATGGGACCAATGGCCTCACAACGAAGGTTTTCATGGTGACCAATGGGTGGACTGATTTGGGATCTATCATGGTTTCTTGCGAAGTTCCTGCTCCACTACTCCTTGACCTGTCGAACGAATGCCCAGTTCCGTGCCAGGTATACCTTGAATGAGGCCACGACTGGTTGGAAGGTGAATGGAATCAACAGAAACTCAGGATCCGCAATTTGGAGCAAAGGTAAAAAACAGGATCTTCCAACTATGCATGACTTGTTTGCCTTTGGGCGTGTGTTATAGATGAAGAAGTTTACATTTGGCAGAGTTGGACGATCCGGGTATGGATCACAATTTAGCTCTAGCTCGATGGACAAGCACTGGAAGTACTCCATGTGAGACCATCTCTCAAAAAACAACCTCAGCTCAGCATATCGTGCTTTTCGACACAAGCAGGACTCCTGGGTACTCTTGGACGAAAGCAGGACCTCTTTTTGGTCCAATTTCGGAGTGTTCGACGTCCGGTGCCGGGCGCTCCGGAGACGGCGAGGCTCCGGAGGACGCCAAGGAGGACGGCGACGGCGAGAAGGACGCCGAGGGTGGCGAGAAGAAGGATGGGGAGGGCGAGGCAAAAGCGGAGAAGACGCGGCCGGACATGCTGCTGAAGAAGGAGGAGGCAGGGAGAAGTGAACCTCGCAAAACCAAACGGATGGACTGTCTCGAAAATTGTGTGGACTTCGTTCTTTGCTGCTTGATGTACTTTCTACAGCAAGCTTCGGGAGACCTGAAACTCTTCAGAACACCAGAAAAAAAAGAAACATATTTAGTGGGTGTGGTGCTTGGATGTAAACTATGTTTCCAGAGGTTCCACTTTTCAGAAGCATGCGCAAGGTTTCCTTGAGGTCCTTCAACTTACTTTGCCAGCAGATTTGTAGCATTTTGCTCGAAAGGTTTGTGTGCTTTTGCTCGTGCATGTAATGGATCGGAGTCAATACACTTCCGTGATCAATCTGGACAAAACATCGTAAACATAGTTTAATACAGCAACAAATGGATAATTTCACCATCAGCTGGGCATAGATGGAGAACTTCTCCATGCACTTGGGGGTAGATGGGGAGATTCTCCGAGAGATTCTCCATTCTGAAGATGAACTGCAACTGACTTGTATCTGGAGCGAAAGATCTCAGGGACTTGAGCGCACTCACATTTAAAAGAACGTTGCGTGCTGCCTGGTCATGTCACCCGGACATGATGATAGGAAGACAAAACCGTTTGCAATGCACAAAAGTGCGACAACGACTCTAGGCCGTTCAGGCGTGATTGCACCGCAGGCTCTGGTATTTTGGGATATTGAGAGAACAGTGACAGTGACAAATTACAGTTACAGAAGTAATCCCACAACACAGATCGACGCAGCATCATTGAACCAAGCACCACCCATCGTCACTTCTTACACATGCCCATTTCCAACTTTCACTCTTCATTCCATTAATCTAATGTTCTTATAAGATCATGACATCCATGCGTTTTTGGATGTTTTTGAAAGGAACTGGTTTCAATGTCAGGGTTGCTCCAATTTTCAACATTCACTTCTGCACACTTCCTGATTCAATACCGCAGGCACGGCACTTGCGAAAGTTAACATACCTTGACAATAATCATTTAAGGATATGACACAAATATACACAAATATATTTCTAGCATATTACCCTAATTTACCATAATGGTATTGAATATTTGTGTTCATTGCGACAACAAATAGAAACAAATAATCTCAACAAATATCGCAACCCAAAAAGAAAAGCAAATCCAACATATCGTAGAGCCGCTTCCAAAGATGGAGTCGGACACGACCGAATCGCTGGATTTTCTCTTGCCAAATTGCTTATACAATGCCAAACTAAGCCACTAAAAGGCACACATCACTAAATTTTGTTGGACAAGACATGGATGACATAATCTTTGCTCATGTGGACTTGACAAGAACTACCGAACTACCGACATTTCATGAGAGACTTCTATAGCGAGGACATTTTTTTGTGCAGGTCAGCATACCCGTGTGTTATCCCTTGTTTTCTTCTTACAAACTCAAGAGGCATCGAACAGCTGCGGAACTTGATCACAACACGGACGAACAGCTGCGAACATGCGCTGCTGCAGGTCGAGCAGCTCCTGGGTGGTTTGCGCTTCGGACATTTGGACCATCCGCAGCTTTTGGAGGCTGTCAAGGATCCCTTGCTCTCGCAGGCAGATGGGATGTAGTGATTCGTGCGGTTTGTAAAGATGGGTTTTCTTAAAAAAAAAGGATGCCACTCCAAATCAATAAGTTATGGTACTAGTTTTTTCTCACACTGTAACAATTATGGAAGTACAGCTGAGGGTTTGTGCAGAGCATAGACTTCTACTTTCCGCTCCTGGCTACAACTTGACCTTCATTGCAGTGATTGCGGGCGAACAAAGATAACAAATCCAAATCTCAACATGGCTGGAACAGTTTCTCTGCCTTGTTCCAGCGAGGCTGGTGCCCAATCGCACCTGACGGATGCTTTGAGCGTGCGCCTCGCGCGCTACGAAGCGGCCGATGCGGCGGCGCCGCCGCGGCCGGCGCGGCCCTCCACACGTGGTGGCTCACGTGACGGCCAGGGACGATGGGGCAGGGGTGGCGGGCAGGGGATGTGGAGGAACCAGAACGGACCAGAACCGAGGAATCGACTTGTGGAGGTGGTGAGTGGACCTCACCGTTGCTAACGTGTATGCGTAGGTATACCTAGACGCCAGACACGACCTTTGTTTTGAGAGGAAGTTGGACCATCTTCTGGGTGGTTGGTGGTTCAAATAGCTGTCATTCAGGTTCCAGGTCTACGCAAACCACAGCCCGCTGTTTCATAGAGAAAAAACATGTTTGGGGTCCAAAAACAGGGGTCACTTATACTGCGAGACGTGCTGGTGGCCACGTGTGAGGGGCTACAAGCCTTTAGTGACCAGACACTGAAGATGATGCAGAGGATGGACACGAGCGAAGCTGGCAATTTTCTTGGTTGATGTGGATAATGTAGATCAACCGCTTGGAGGATGAAAAAGTTGTTTGGTGCTCACCGTTGCACAGCATCCAGGGTTCACAAGCACAAACCCTTGCAGAGGTAGTATGAAATTCTTCCTTTGAGGCGTGCTCAAGAATTGGATGTCGCATGCACTGCAACAGATGTAGAACACGCTTTCTGGAAATACTATGAAATACTCAATCACATCCAGAATTCATTTGGCAAGTGCCGACTCTGGTAACAGCCCAACCCGACTTGTCTCCCAGGCGCCGCGGGCGGGGCAGCTGGCAGCAGCGCGCCGGTGGGCGCCGCGGGCGCCGCCACTCCGGCACCACCTCCTGATGCTCCAGAGCCGGGCAGCCCACAGTTCCAGAGCTCTCGAGGTGCGCGCGACCCGAAGTCTCGCGATGGAAGAGTCGCGAAGTCTCGCAGTCGGGGCAACGATGGTGTTGTTGGACGGCGGGTGAGGTTGGTCTAGCGACGGGGGGAGTTGAAAAAAGAGAACAAGTGATCCTTCGGAGCCTTGGTGGACAGACCTGGATTCCGGATATGATGTTCCAGATTCCAGACCTTTCTGACGTTTTTTCAGTCGACCAATGGCATTTGTGAGGTGTTTTGAGTTGTTCGAAGCTGTGTGAAGAGGGGAATCGGGAGTTGTGAGAAGCTTTGCTTCGGTGATAGAAGGTGTGTGAGCTCAGCAGTTTCATGGTCTCGGAACTGGGTGATGAGAAGATGTATAAGTTTACTCTATATACCCTCTGACTCACTAACATAGAAGTGGAAAATGGTCCCTTGGAAGACTACTTTCCTGTACCAACAAGGGGTTTTCCACTTCCATGTTAGTGAGTCAGAGTGTATTTGTAGTAGATTTCTGGCGGACAACTTATTGCTTTAATGTTTGGTCTCATTTGCCTCGCATTGGTCGATCTTGCAACAGACGCAGGGCCTTCCTGGCACTATTGACCTACAATGACCTATACATGGACCCCAGGTCATCCACCCCCTGGCCGTTTGGTGTCAGGACTGCCAGTCCCAGACAGGTCTGACAGTCGGGGAAAGCGATCCAAACCTGTCGTCCCCCGGCACAACGCCCGGTGACCGACTCGCATGCGACAGCGAGGGCCCACTGTGGAGGGTTTCCAAGGCTGCAAGGTAGACTGTGTCATTGACGGTTTGTTCGTGTTCTTTTTGTTGTTATTGCACAATCTTGCATTTGCGATATTCATATAATTTCATGTAATTATAAATTGGAGGTTTTCGAAACCGTTACTTGGAGCATGACGCTTTTCACCATGCGCAGCTCCTGGCCTAAGTGGCCCTGACTTTTGTTTGGTTGGGGCGGGCCATGGTGCGGTGGCGGCTCGTGGTGGCGAGCCTGGTGTGGACCATCGGGCCGATCGATGGTTGGTGGCAGGCGGCCGATGAAGAGGAGGCCGAGGTCCCGAACGTGACCTGTTGGGACGAGCCGGTCACCTGCTTCCAGCGACAGGTCCACGCTGCGGTGGCGGCTGCCCAGGTGCAGTTTTCCACCCTGACGACCTGGGACAGCTTGGCTTGGACCCTGCTGGACACGCTTCTGTCTGGAGCAGGGTGGCTGGTTTTTGGACAGAGTTGGGCCAGCGTCAGGACCGGCTGCTCGATGATCTTCCGCGTGGCCTTGCTGATGGGGATCTGCCTCGTGCTGCACTACTTCCTCTCGTTGGCTTGGCCGCTGTGTTCCTTGGTCATTGGAACGTTTTTGACCATCGTGTGGGTCGTACGAGGCCTGGTTCGGTGTTGCGGGAGGACCGCTTTCTACGCCCAGCGGATGGCGGGCGGGGTGCCAGAGGTGACGGGAGCGACCTTCATCGGCCCGGATACCGGCGAGATCCCGGAGACGGCTGACCTCCGCAAGATGAAGAAAGGGGCCAACGAAGATCGATGGGTTCTCCTTCGGCGGGATGGCTATGTGGTCATCATCAAGGTCACCGAGAATGCCGCGATCAAATCCAGTGGGATGTACTTGAGCTTCGACCCGGATGCGACTCGTGGAGACGCCCAGCTCCTACTGGCTTTGAAAGGGTACGAAAGGGTACACCTCTGCCGACACGACTCCTGTCCAGAAGAAGGTCAACACTTCAAGAGCTATGCTTTGGCTCGACAGCTCAACCCTGAACGTTTCCACCTCCTTTCGACTGCTGCTGGGGCGCAGAGGACGGGGATGAAGACAATGGGGTGGCTCTTTTCAAAGGCCCACAAGTCAGCGAAGCGGCTGAAGGACTATGCCTCCGAGTCTGAACGGGAGGAGGTTGGAGGATGCTGCGCACACCTTGTCCGATGGGAAGGTGAGGCTGGTCGAGTTTGTCTTAGTGACCACCCGTGCAAGAATGGGGCCGCTACGGACGTGGAGATGTTGGAAGAAGACCGTGGGAATCTCCCCGCTGACCAACAAGCATCTTTGTGCTCGGCCCATGCAGTGCGTTATCTAACACTGCGGGCTACCTTGAAGTGCTCCTATGGGGGTTGTCAGAGGCTCGGGGCAGTGAGTAAGCAAGGGTTGCGCCTCTGCGGAGTTCATCAGGAGCAAGCGTCGACATCATCCAGACGTTCCTCGCGGTCGAGATCCAGGGCAAGGGACCCACACCCGGGAGAAGACGAAGGTGAAGAACGGGCAGAAGGAGAAGGAGATGATCGGGCACGGAGACGGGGGCGAGCCCGGGAGGTGACCTACCAGGTCGACGATACGGAGTCGTTCCTGCGAGATGTCCGTGAGGAGAAGGAGGAGGAACCACCCGCCCTTCGGAGGAGGAGGGTGTCGTCTCCAGGCCACACGCCAAAGTCCTCAGTCCAACACAGCTTGGCCCGGATGGGAATGATTAACTCTCCAGACCGGAGGGGGGACCTCACCTATTTGGAGGAGTTCATGGAGCAGATGGCTGACGGGAGGGAGCTTCAGCTGGGAGAAGAAGACATTCGCAAGCAGCTGGCAGCCCAGGCAGGGTTGACTGTGGGCGACCTCACTCGGCATCTCTATGAGCAGGCGACGGAGGAGCAAAGAAAGGGGACGAAGGGTCTGACCAAGTTCTTGGCAAAGTGGCGCCAGCAGGCTGCTGCACAAGATCGCCCTACGTCCTTGTCGGACTGGAGTGTGGTCGAAAAAGAGCGGGAGAGCTCGGCACCTACACCATCGAGCATGGCTTCTGGGACGAGGGTTGCTTCAAGCCCGGGACAGGTTGAGACACCTCCCAAAAGGAAATTGGCATTGGTTCCACCCCCGGGGATCTACGACCCTGACAGGAAGGCCGGCGCTGGGGCGGAAGAACGGGCTGGGCATTCCGAGATGACCGACATCGCCAAAGCGATCCAGCAGCAAACGAATGAACTGGCTACGTTGGTCAAGGCCCAGCAGGAGACCACCACGGGCATGGGCGGCTCGCTGAAAGGTTTGGGGAAGACCTCTGAAGAACTGGTTTTTCTGCTCCGCGCGTGCGGGCAGTATACCGTGCAAGTCGGCAACGAAGAGTACGGTGCCCCACTCGCTCAGGCCTTGCTGGCGGCTCAGGCCGGTTCGTCAACAAAGTTGAGGAGCGCTGGATTCCGGCAAAAGATCACTTCCAGGCTCGCCATCGGGATCGCTGGTCCGTACTGGGGCACGCAGGAGAAGTATGCCCTGAGTGCATCTGACTTCGTTCCCTGCACAGACGCAGAGTTGGACCAGTTCGCGATCGAAAGCCGGACAGGGAAGCCCTTGAACGAGCAAAGACCCACGGCCCCTACTCGATATGAAGACTGGCTCAATCGAGTGAAACGCCAGAATGACATTTGGGCGCTCGTGTACGGGGTGGAGTGGACGGCAGTAAGGGAGCACGCCATCAACCTGTTGGGGGAGTGGCATGTCAGCGCCCCTCATAAGTGGCCGCTACAGGTCCTTTTGGACGTGTGGGAAGAGCTGCACTGGCGCTTCTTGGAGGAGCTAAAAGAGGAGTTGAGGAAGATCAAGCGGCTGTCAGGCAGGGAGTCCATGACGCTGCAGGACCTCAAGTTCTATGCCCTCATGCCGGATGAGGAAGGAAGACCCCCTTTGAACCTCCCGCAGACCTTCGACTTGCGGCGACCTGAAGGATGGTTTATGTCCGAAGTCATGCCCAGGATTGAGCGAAGGCAGGAAAGGATGCTTTGGAAGATGACGTGGGAGGGCTCCGGAAAAAGCAGAGCGCAAGGTCAACCGGCTGGAGGAGATGGTGGCTTGAAGGAGGAGAGGCTGTCGCTGAAGAGCCTATTCGGGCCAAAGCTCACGGTGGAAGAGACCACGAGAGCAAAGGACCGCGCCCCTACCAACAAAGAGGGCAAGTTGCTGTGTTGGGGCTACCTCACTCACCTGGGCTGTTCGCAGCAGGGCTGTCAGAGGGCGCATGAGCCTTTGAGGGGGCCCTTCGAGGCTCTTGATCCGGCGGTTCAACTCCAGATGCTCAGACGGGGAGGCCTCAGGAGGATGAAGGCTGAGACGAAGGAATCAGCAGCCGAGAAGATGAAAGAAATCAGGGCTGGGGTGGCAAAGGACAAGGCCGCGAAGGTGCAGGATGGCAAAGATCGCCGACGAGCAGGTCAAGGAGAGGGTACCAAGGAAGGCGAGCCAGAAGGACCTGAAAAGGCTGGGGGCAGAGTTCATTGGGAGGCGCCAGAGGCGATGATCCAAGTCGACTACACCCACCAGGAGAAGGAGTTTGCCGACCTCGTCGCGGGCCCGGACAGTTCTGTTTTTGACCACGTTCCCAGGGAGGCTCAACCTCACGAAGGAAGACATGGATCTACAGCCCCGGCAGAGGCCCAGGACATGGTGAGGAAGGCGCAAGCCCTCGCAACAGGGCCGGTTTTGGGAAAGCTTCAGGAGGCTTCAGATGATCTCTATGCGTGGGCCTCAACGAGGGTAGCCAACGACCCGGAGATTCTCTTTGAGACCCTCATGGAAGAAATGGTCCAATATGGTTTGGGAGAGCTTGCGGCGGAAGCGGCTGCCTTGCTTGAAGCCCATGGGCAAGGGATGAAGGCAGGACATCAAGCCCGATGCCAACTCGGAGACACTCGATGGGAAGGTGATGGACCCGGGAGAGCTCTGGTGCACATCGACGGGTTACCTTGGGCCCTTTGGGACTTCGGCGAGATGGTCAACATGACAGAGGAGCTGGCGGGGCTGCTGGGGGTGATCGAGCCCGAGAAGGAGAAGAGGCAATGTGTCACGAAGGTTCTAGCAGCAGGGATGCACCTCGCCCTGGAGCCCATCGAGCTCTACACACAACCGCATCAGCAACTCGGACCACGCCCAGATCATGATCTGTCCGACCCGCACCGCCAGGAGTACTTCATCAACCGGCTTAAGGCACAGGACTCAAATGTGCAGTGGATTGCAAGCCCGTGTACGAGTTTCTGCGATTGGTGTCTGCAGAACGGCGGGACTCGAACATTTCAGAACCCTGCCGGGCAACCAACAGCCAAAGAACAGATTGGCAATGCTTTGTCGGAGTATGGCGCGAGGGTGTTTGAGACTTCCCTACTGCAAGGTGGCTTCCCTATTGCCGAAAGCTCTGGCACATCGGGCAGGTATCCCAAGCAATGGCACCTACCTCAATGGCGCCGTTTGCTGCAGCGCCCGGACGTCGACTTCATTGAGATCGACATGTGTGCCTTTGGCTTGGGGCCACCAGACATGCCGGGCCACTTCTACCGTCATCGTACCGGGTTGGCCTTCCCTCATCATCCCCCTCTACGGCAAGCTTTGCTCCGCCTCTGCCCTGGTGTCTCAGGAACTCACCAGCATATCTCCCTGAAGGGCAATCGACCAGGGGTGCAGGTGTCGCGGTGCACGGAAGCTGGCGTCTATGCGGAGGCCTTCGTCCGGACTGTCGTCGAGACCCTGGTGCACACCTTGGTGGGGGGGGGTCAAAACCACAACCTCCTTTGTCAAAGACTGGGGGACGCCATCCATACGGCTGGAATGACCGGGAGATCGTGCACGAGGAGGAGCCCGTGGTCGACGAGGGTGGCCAGGCCGGCCTCGAGGACTTTGAGTACCTGAATGAAGATGAACTCCAGCAAGTCGCTGGGATGGCCGTGGACGAGGCGCTCGGGGTGTGGAATGGTGTCGAGGTCAACAATCCACAACGGGATGAACCTGAGGGAGAGGTGGTTGAGGATGAGGAGGACCTTGAAGGGGAGGACACCACTGAGCCACGCCCTGAGACTGAAGGCGAGCCCAGCACGAGAATTGTGTGGCAGGATCTGGGGCTCCGAAACCGCATGGAAGTGGACGCGGAAAGGGGCTATGTGTGGGTCCATACGAATGAGGCAAGGAATGATCTGGTGGTCCCAGAGGAGCTGCCCTACCCGTACTGGCCGCATCGATTCCAGAGTGAAAGATACACCCGATGTGAAACCCGAGACGAGTGGGGTCGTCTTCAAGTGGCCGAGGTCTATGATGACTGGAGGGTCCAAGGGAGAGGCAGGCCACCGATCGTGCCCTGGACAGGAGCCACCCTTTTTGTCTTCGCGGATGGGCAGGCCCCTTGGGTTGAGCTGCCTGTGGATGGCCAGGGGGCCCTGATGCCGGTGGAGGAGGTGAAGATCCAGGGGGCGGTGAGGACGACTGGCGGCACCAGTAGCACTCACGGGGCTCCAATGATTGGCAAAGCCTCAATGACAGTGGCCAATGGCAAGGTTGGCACTCGTGGTCGTGGCGAGGCACGAGGGCAGGAGGCAACAGCTGGACCGACTTTGAGAAGGAGGGCATCTCGGGCAAGGCGGCTACGGCGGCTTTGGGCTACATCCAGGAGGTTGACAAGATCAAGGAAACGGGGCTCAGGACTGGCAAGCCGTGCGAGAACGGGGAGATCTGCTGTTGGACCTGACGGGCTCAGTTGAGAAGGCAGCGATGGCACTTTGGGTGGCGCGGGAGCAGTTGGGCCGGAACAATTTGCAAGGGGCCGACAGTGAGGAGCTCACGAAGTTGTTGCACCCAGATCATTTGGCCTACCTGCGAGATATCAGAGCTCAAGGCGTGCCCGCCAGGTACCAAGGGCAGAGGGAGCGAGTGACGACCCGACCACACCCGCGGGCGAGGGCAGACATGGGCCAAGTGTATGTCCAGTTGATGAAGGACATCGCGAAGCACCGAGTTCTGGTCGCCTCAGCGAGCCATTCAGCCCTCAAGCATACGGTCTCCTCACCCTTTGAACTGGTTCCCAAGATGCTGCCGAATCGGTCCTTGTCAACCGAAGCTAGGCTGGTGCATGATCAACGGCAGGTCAACGGAGGAACCCACAAGGATCTTCACCCGCCTGCGGCACAGCCGACCCATGAGCAGGTGGCGAGGCGCATTTTGTGGCTGAAGGCGAGATACCCCGGCATCAAGGTCGTTCTGGCAAAGAAAGACGTGGCTGGTGCCTTCAGATTACTATGGGTTGATCCCAGGGATGTGGAGCTGTTTGCGGGTGACGTCCCATGGAGGCCAGAGTTGATGGGACCGGGAGGATCGGCGGCCAAGTTTCAAGGACTGGGAGATCTTACGGTCATCTACCTGGTCTCGAGCTTCGGGTTCTCGGGCTCCCCGGGAGAATGGACGGCATGGGGGCGTGCTACGGAGGAAGTCCACCGCAACCTCCGCCCGATTGACAGCAGGAGAGATGGAGAGCTGCACTTCTGCGGGAAGATTTTGGTCGATGACATGGTGCTTGTCGAGCCCGTGATGGGATTGAGACCCTGGGTGTCCAGTGAGGTGTACGAGTGGGCGGTGACGCAACTCCTAGGGGAGAAGGCCATCAACAAGCTCAAGGATGCGGAAGAAGGGTGCTACAGTAACCAACAGACAGTCTCCTGATCATCGACGCGGACACGGAGAGGATGTCCTTGCCCGAGGCCCGGATTCTCAAGGGGGCTTACTTGTTGGCTCAGCCGTGCTTCAACTACGGGGACAAAAACCTTCCCCTCAAGGAGCTACAACGATTCCGAGGGATCGCCAATGGTTGGAGCACCGTTGTCACTGGACTCAAGAACGAGCTCCGCAGTGCAGATGTGTTTCTTGGAGGAGTTGATGGAGGAGCCGCAGTTCAACCTAAACTAGCCCAGCCTGAAGGGTCCGAAGCTCGGGTGGATGAGGAGGAACGAAGTTGGGAGGCCCTTTGGGAGTTGTTCGAGGACTGCAGGTGGTTGTGTGCCCGTTCAGAGACGTGGGCTACGAAGTTTGGGGGCGACATCAGAGAGTTGCTCCCGCCTTTGGACCGCTTGGCCCTGCCTGGACAGCAAGGGGAAGGCCCGATCTTCGTCTCCTCTGACGCTACGCCGGAGGTTGTTGCAGCCATCGATTGGACCAATGGCCTGGCTTGTCGCGAGGATGTTGAGACCCTGAAGCCATGGATTCGGCAGGTTACAGAGGCCGAGGGGCAAGAGGGCGGCAAGCTCGCCATTCATCTGGGCGAGATGCTGAGCTTCGTGGCCTTTGCTTGCAAGGTTGGCCATTTGTGGGAGGGCAGAGTGGTCGTCTATGCAGGGGACAACAAGGTCGTCTACTTCTGGATTACCGGGCGGAAGAGTGGAGTCCGGGCCGGGAGGTTGTTGATCCGGGTCTTGAACTTGGTTGAGAAGCGCCATCGCTGCCGCATCCTGGGGGGTTGGTGGAGGACCTTTCACAATGAGGATGCGGACGCCCTCACCCGTTTGGAGGAGAAGCAGGCGGACGAGCTCATGGTGAAGAAGGGTTGGGACAAGCTGGACATCAAGGAGAGCATCCACCAGGCTTTGGAGGACACGGAGCGGTTTGGCTTGTGCTTTTTGTCCTGGGCAGATCAGGAGGACAGATATGAGTTGATGAGGTTGAGGGAACTACGGGTCTTCAGAACCGTCCTCCGACAGCCAGCCGAGCTGAGGGAGGTAGAGGTGGTCGAATGGACCCCAGCGATTTGTCAAGGACTTCGAATACTTCACTGGGGGAGCCAGGGATCCGGAGCACAAGGTCATAGCAGCCACCATCGGACCTGACCCGAAAGGAAGGCGAGTGGCGGAGTTCACGGCCTATCTCGACAGTGAGGTCTTTGACATTGCCGTCCTGGAGGGACCGACCGAGGTGCGATGGGCGCGCCTGGAGCAATGGGCGAAGAGTGTGGGATGGAGCTGTGTGTTCCAAGAGTTCCTCACGTCCCAGCTTGGGGAAGCTATGGTGAGGAGAAGGGTCGCGGGCTTCGTTTTCCCTACGGAAAAGTCCTCGGAGGCGGTCGAGTTTTTGATGGTGAAGTCGGTTACTCCGCCAGCGATGGGGTCCTACTTGAAGAAGCTCAAGGAAGGCAACTGCGTTCAGACCGAACGGTATGAGGCAGCCATCAATGTGGGCCAAGAGGTCATGCTCCCGGTGGTGACAGCCCATGCGTGGATCAGGCAGGACGGGGAGAGGCAGAATGTCTATTCCTTGAGCGGACCTTGCCGGTGGCCCCTCACTGACTCCTTAGAGAAGGGCATGCAACGCATCCTAGTACAGGACAAGACCGCCCCGGTGGGCAAGGTGAGGAGCCTCACGGGCGAGGAGGTGTGGGTGCTGCAGGGCAGGCGCCTGGACGAGTGGAGGAACCTGGTGGAGCTGATCGGGGAGAAGGAAGCGGAGAAGGAAGGCTGCCGGGCTACAGGCCGTCGAACTGCTCTGAGCCTGATCAGCACCGCTGCGGAGATTGTGAAAGAGGGTAAGGAAAGCAAGGCAGGGATGTGCCTCGACAAGGAGGATTACAAGTCATTGGGCATTTTGCTGCAGTGGCTGAGGAGATGGCGTCGTGGAGACTTCAGGCGAGCACTACCAGATCGTAAGGCTGGAGGCCGTGATGATCAGATGCGATCGGTGTGGTTCTGGGGTGAAGAGTTGTGGCTTGGCGCCCTCGAGGATGACGAGATGACCTTCGGAAGCAGTGAGGACCGGAAATGCGGAGGTCGCCGCAGGAAGGAGGTGAGGCCAGTGGAGGAGACCGGTGCTCGTTTCATCGACCTCAACCCAGACTTCAATCCAGATATGGAGATCCAGGCGCAGGTGGAGGAGTGGTTGGAAGCCCACTTGGTGGGTGACAAGGCAGCCAGCACCCAGAAAGCATATGCCACCGCTTGGGGCAAATGGTGTGATTGGAGCCGACGACAAGGCTGGCTAACTCCTTTCCTCGACCACAATGGCGACCCAATCCACAATGAGAACAAGGTCCTGGGCTACCTGGGCTACTTGGGATGGCTGGGTACGTCAGTGGCCACGATGAAGCAGGCAGTGTTCGCCATCAAGGACGCACACAAGAGAGCCGGCCATGGTGACACGACGGTCAAGATGCACCGTCTTTGGATCGTTCTCAACTCGTTGGAGAAGAACTCAGTGAAGAAGCCAAGGCGGCTGGGTGTCACGGTCCAGATGATCAAGTGGCTTGGCAAACAGATGGCCTCAGGAGCGGACGCCATGGGCGAGCTCAAAGTTGACTGCAGGATGGTGCATGCAGCGGTGGTCACGGCCTGGTTCTTCATGCTTCGTGCCAGGGAGTTCTCTGACTCCAGCGGGGTGGATCAGGAGATGATCGTCAGGGGGCAAGATGTATCCCTCACAACTCGTGGCCAACCCGACGAGAATGATCCTCAGGAAGTGACCTTGCAGTTCCGCAAAACCAAGGCGGATCAGGAGGCCTTCGGGACGTGCAAGACGATGCTGAGGACGGAGGTCGAGTTCGTGTGTGTGGTCACTGCGCTCCATCGACTACGCGAAGTGGCACCGAGGAGGTTTGGGCGGGGCCCAGAGAGTCACATGCCCTTGTTCCGGTGGGCTTCGGGACCTGTCCTCAAGCGCTTGGAGGTCCAGAACCTTCTGCAGAGAGCGGCACGAGCTCTCGGCTTGCCGGCAGAGCGCTTCCAGTCCCATTCGCTACGAATTGGTGGAGCGTCGGCGCTTTACCAAGCCACGGGGGAGATTGAAGTGGTCAAGAGGACCGGGCGATGGACATCGTCAGCGGTGCAGCGCTATCTCCATGACTCGGGCGACGTCCTGTCAGGTCTGGCGCGGAAGATGGCCAATGTGGACCAGCACGTGCATTACACCTGACAAGCAATGGAGCTGGCACACGGCCGACAGCAGTGAAGTGGGGAGGTGGCAGATGCCACAGGCGATTGACAGATCGCGTGGCTGGTTGACACCAACTTCAGTGCGAAGCGGCAAAATGGTGTGCCAGCGACTATGCACTAAGTAAATAAATAAATATATATATATATATTTAAAAAAATGAGTGTTGAGTGTTACTTAATTCGTATCTATTCTTTTTTTCCAGGAACCATGGGGGCAAACCTTTTCCCCTGCCGCTGTGGAGAAGGTGGGGCCGAGAGGGTGACTGGAGGTGGGTTCAACCACCGGAGATGTGAAATGTGGATAAATGTGGTGTGCAGAGAAGAAAATACAGAATGAGGGACGTTTCGTCAGAGATTGAATGGGATCCTTTCCGCCCTGTTTGAGTGCCACGAAGTCCGACGCTCCGTCCGCCGCCCCGGAACCGATGCTTTTCGTGCAACCACTCGTGTGTACCCGGAGTGACCTCCTTCGGGGGCCCGGATGGAGTGGAGAATTGGTGGCCTAAACAAAGCCTCCGAGAAGTCGTTCCTTTCAAGCAAGAGGTTCCTGAGGTGATCACACTTCTTTTTCGAGGATTCGAAGATCCGGATTCAAGAAACCCATGAGTGGATTCAGCCAAACAGATGAACAAGAGTACGAACAAATGTTCATAGTGTGCTCGTTCGAGCCACCAATGTTCCCTGGGCATTCGGCTTCAGGAGCTGATACTCACCAACAATACATACTTTTGTTGCAAACATGATACCTTGTTACTTGGCGGTTTGAGAACATGTACCCATGAGAAGGTGTATGTTGTATTTCTCCGAATGATAAATAAAAACACTCTGACCACTGACCTCCAAGCTGTTCCCAACTTCGATCGCCTCACCTGTTTGTGGCTTTGGTTCGTGCGACCTGCCGGATCTTGGAGCTGTCAACACATGGTGACCTTATATAACCTGCCAATCTTTGAGTGCTAGCATCCCTATAGCAGATTATCAATTAGTAAAACAACGATCAAACAATGGAGACATATATACACCTTTTTTAAACATCCTTTTTCTGCAGCTTCTTTTTGAGCCAGGTATATACAATGTAATGGAGGCACATTCATGACATAGATCAAGCCTGCGCCCCCCGGCGGCCTCAGGCTTAAAGCAAACAGCCAAACAGCTTGCGTCGTTGTCCAAGTTCTTTCTAGACGTTTTTGTCAGAGCACCGAACTCCTGAACCGCCGCGACGTCCTCCGTCCGATGGCCATGTGGGCCCCTCCAGGACGAATGCAGCTGAGACAGGCCGAGGGCCGCTTCTTGGCGCGCTGTCATCGGATGGCCAGCTGTCAGGAGGCGATTTGGCTGCCGTGCCTCGGAGCGAAGACTCGCGACGGGCCGGTCCAGTGAGGTGAGGCGAGAGGTGAGGTGCCAAGGTTGGGCTTGGACATGCTTGGACGTCCAAAGCAACGGCTTAAAGCTGAAGTCTATTTCAGGATCTATAGCTTGGATCGAATAAATAGGGGTGTAGATGAGCGATATGTTGTGCTCTTCAGCTTTGGGGATAGTACTGGTTGGGAGTGACTGGGAACAATTGCCCACCCTAAAGGGTCTTGAATCGTTCATCTTTACTTTGGGTGCGGGGACAAGTTGTGAATCCTCCAAACAATTTATTGTTGATATAGTTTCTTTTTTTTGAACCCCTCTCCCTATAGGATTTGGTCAAAGGCAACCCTTGCGCCATTATAGAAAGGGGCAAATTTGCATCGGTGCTTTTTTTACTCCTTTCGTTCCCCGTTTGGTTCCATCAAAATCATCCGCGAATCCCATCCCGAAACACCCCCCTGCAACTGCACCATGCGAACGGTACCTGGACAATTAGACCTACCTGCCCAGATCTGCTTTGCTTTCAGCACGGTGCTCTCTTGAAACCGGTGCGGCACGAGGAGCAGCGTGGTGGCCGCGGCCGTCGATGGACATTGCGCCGCTTGTGCACTTCGCTTGGGCGCCGAGGCGCCGCGTTCGACGGTCGGTGAGGTCGGCGGTGTGTGGAGGAACAGGAGCAACGGAGCATGAACGGAGGAGTGAGGGAGGGAGGGAGGGAGGGAGGGAGGGAGGGAGGGAGTGAGTGAGTGAGTGCACCGGAGGTCATTTTTTTAATGAAATGGCCGGTGTTTTTGGGATCCATTTGGTTTGGGTTGTTTGGAATCCATTTAGGAGGCTTTTGTGTGGATGGGGGCTCATCCTTTCATCTTTATGACCTATGGATGTTCGTAACCCTCAGAGGGGTAGCAGCAGTTTCCTGCTGAGTGTCTTATGACATACCAATCATGCATCATATACTGACCATTCCTAAGAAGTAACCAAGACCGATCCAATGTCAGCTGTTCAAACCTTCGCTCGCCTGTGCTTTTGTCAGCTGGTATTGGCTGGATTGATTGGCTTTGCAAAGTAGCACAGATCAAGTCCGCGTCGCCACCCCGACAATTTGTAGGACGGAGACAAGAACTCCGACAAGACCAAGGGCACTCATCACCCGCGTTTGGTGAAGTTTGCTGTGTAGGACAGGTTGTAAAGTTGACAACAAAACCACATGTTTGTTTCACGAACTGTAGATTTCTTTTTACGAACCATGTGTAGGACAGAACAAACCAACTTTCTTGGACGCCTGCGTCACCACCGTCACTCCGCTGCGGAGAGGTGCGAACGCTCACGGTGCGCTTGGGCCGGGACCAGTGTCGTGTTCTTCGAAAGCTTCCCAGTGGCGTGGACACGCTGTCCGGGCCACCCAGTGGTTACACTGCGGCACGGAAAGCTGGCGGCAGGTGGCGGGGAGAGGTGGAGTGCACTTTGGGGGGTTGCTGAAGCTATATTGCTTCAAAAGGGAGCTGAATACAATGGCGCCAGGCTCAGGGCCAAGTAGGACGAAGACATACACTCAGACCAGTTCTGAGGCCATGTTTGAGGAAGGTCAACGGAAAGGCAGACCATGTCACACGAGAGAGGCAGTTGCCGTAGCAGACAAGGTCTTGGAGTCTTGGGATTGGGAACCTACTGTCTGACAAGTAACTGGTAACTGTCCCAGTTCGCAAGTGAACATACAAAACAATCTTTTACTTTTTACATCACAGTTTTGCACAAACTAGCATTCAACATCATTCAACAGTCTACCAAATGACATTCGGCTCCCGATGACTCTGTTCCGCACCCATGCTTTTGGACGCGTCTCAGAGTCTCAGACCTTTGTTTGAGCTGGAGAGAGTGTTTGGGTCAGCTTCAGCCCTACACCAACGCCCAATTCGGCCAGAGTCGGAAGTCTCGGCTACGGTAGAGTCCGGAGAGCTTGAGCCAGCGAAGCATGAGGACGAGTGTCGGTAGTGGAGGGATGCTAATGTCGAATCTTGATGAAGAACCGTAACCCCGCCACTTCCGGAGCGCGGGTGGTAGAAGAGGTTTTACCATGTTCTACCATCTGTAACCCCCCTTGAGGTTTTACAAACCTGTCAGAAGATCCGACAAGGGAGTGGGTGGGCGCGTGTCGTGGATCGTCCGCCAGGAGGTTTTACAATCCAAATGGGGGCTTATTCGTCAAGATTCTACATTGGTCGTGCTCAACCTGTCACCCACTCAACCGGTACTTCGCATGTGCCACTCCTGACATTCCCGTGGTTTGTCCGACACCCGCTTTCACCGCCGAACCTCCGCAGGCGTGGCATGTGTATCGCTGGCTGCCATGATTTGCTCTCACTTTTGGGCTGAGGCCAAGAAGGTCGCTACTGTCGTCAATTCAGTGTTCCAAAGTTGAGCACAAGTCCGAGCGAGCGTTTCGAAGATCGGCACGGCTCGAGTAGAAGGATGACCCCTATATTCGATCCAAGCAGGATTCCGTACTGTTGAGGCCAGATCCATATAATACATATGTATGTATATATGTAGTATATTTAGTATGATCATGTATGATCCAAAGTCAAATACATGTCACATGTCAACTATATTCAACTCTATGTATACATTCTATTACTTCTGGCTTGGTTTGCTTCTTGCTTTCCCCACTGCAAAGTTCGTTGCTGCTTCATATATACGAACGATGTTTTTTGTTGTCCAAAGAGGAGATGTGTTGCCTTTCCCATCAAGAGACGCACCAAGTGGCAACAGAGTGGACCCGACACCTTTCAACTTGGGTTTCGCTGGGTTTCAACTTGGATTCTCTTCATTTCTTGTGGGGTCCTGAGTATCAACGAAGTTACAGAGGTCTTCGGTATTCGGACCTACCAACATTTGACCAGGATGATGAAGTAGGGGATAGTATGGGATAGTACACTGGAGATATGGAGCCGCTCATTATGAAACCCAAATGTACAACTGAATTATGTATAAATATGATTGCCAGGACTCGTTACAACCTGCCCAACAGTGGGCCGACTTGCCCTTCAGCAGATCTGGACGGATGTCCCATCGCCTCAATATGAGGTGTGGGAGAACTTCGCGTGCTGCTCAAAAAAAGAAAGGACAAATCAGCTGCAGAACCGAGGGTTTCCCTGAGAAGTAGACGAGGGAAGGATTGCGAGAGAAAGTGTTCAGGAGGGCGTGTGGGTAGGTCTCTATTTCCTGGCCTCAAGCCACCTCGCAGATGTTCAAGCATTTTATGTAGAGAACGATCCTGGTTTCTTATCACCAAGGAGCTTCATATATGGACAAGTGAGCCAATGCCATGATGAGCTCGGGCCAAGAGATGAGATGAGATGATCCAAAAGCAAGCTTCTTGTTTGGAGCATGGCCAATGTATTATTTTTCAGTTGTGGACCTTGTAGTGTAGTGTAAACCTTTCAGTTTTCAGCTTTAGAGAGATTAGGACATGAGCGATGAGCCAGCAAGAGGCGTCCTTGCAGGCTTGGGAGATCTGGAGATTTGGGTGGATCGGGACATGGGTGGCGTGGTTCACCATGGTTGAGAGGGTGGCATTCACTAGTTCTTCAGATGATTTGGATGTGATCACATGATATGTTCAATGGTGCTTAGTGCTTAGTAGTAATTGTATCGAACTGTACAGAATACCGTGCCATATGATATCACTCTAGAATGGATACCATTAGCTTCCCATCTATGAAGACCGGAGTATAATTAGATATAAATAGTGTTTTTTGTTTTCCAAGCCCAAAGATGGTCCATGACAATGGGCGACCAACAGAGGAAGACACAACTGCCCCAGTCAACGGAGTTTGCAGAAAACCTTTGAAGCAGGTGAGAGGATTTTTGTTTGATTTTCTCTAGGAGAAGGGACATGGCAAAAGGATGAAGAATAGCTACCGCCTCGCTAAGATGGATCTCCAAAAAGCGCGTGTGTGGCTGTTTGGATGCATGCCGCGAATTTTGTAGACTGCTGAGCGCTGTGGATTTTGTACTTGCGATGCCTGACTGTACGGAACTCAAAACCAGCTTTGGCGAAGACCAATTTCTTCTTGGACTTGGTTACAAATGCTTGTCAGAGGAGGGGCCTTTCAGTACGGCTGTTTTTGTTTGCCGTTTCCTCATAGGAGTACCCACAAGCATTTAGTTGGACTAGTTGGGATTTTGGACCTGTACCACAACTCGATTTGCTTGTGCAATGCGATATGTTGCGAAAGTGTAGGCTGAAGTCATCGAACGAAGTGAGAAGTAAGGAGTGTGGGGTGTTGTGTACCAAAATCATAGTAGCCTGCTGGTGTTTTTCTTTTTGGTGAAGGCCATTTTTGGTGATGCAACGATGATGCAACGGATGCAAGATGAACCTGTTTCGGCATTCGCTTGGAACATCGTTGACGACCTTTTGGGGCTTCGCGTATGGGCCTTTTGGACGCAAAGCCTGACCGCAAATGACCAAAAGGGGTTCCCCAAAATGGACGCTGCGTGGCCCTGAAATCTCGGCCCCACAAACCTCGAGTCGTAAAAACATCCATGACGAAGTCTGACTCAGGGCGCGTCTGGAAGTCTGACTCAGGGTGACCTACAAGGGCAACCAGCGGCTTTCAAAATGACACCAGCCGTACTGACATTTACCGCCCGTTGATGCTTTAGCTCAACGACCCTCTACGACCAAGGGGTTCATCTGGCCCTTGAAGTCTAAGTCTGATCCAGCACCAGTCCTTTGCACCATGCTGTACATGATTGTACATGAACCACACTGACCAGACCCCCAGATAGCAAGACCCAGCGCCATCGTCTCATGACACGCGGCACGTGCCACCCCCATTCCTGCTCACGCGTAAACGGTCGTACCACTGGCTTGTCAGGCTTTCCTTTGATGTCGTGTCTCAGAGTTCCACATGTCTTGCAAAGCTGACTCAAATGAGACAAAAATCGTCAGACTTGGGGATTTGAGGCATTGGACCACTTTGAACTGCGGGGCTTCACCCACACGATAACAATAACCAACAATAACAATGGGTGCTCGCCCGGTTTCTGTTCGCTCCCGCGGAGAAACTGTAACGCTCGCCTCTCCAAGGGGTTTCGCTCCCCTGCCAAGAATCGGTGCAGCTCTCTGAAGAGACTGGTGCAGCTCAGGAAACCTTCAGAGTGTCCCTCAGAGTTCGGACCCGATCATGAAAACGTTAACTGGGTTTCATGATGTTAACGTGTTTTTGGGCCCATGGTTGCATCTAAGGCCTTACCAGATCACTGGTGATGTTTCATGAATGTTGATGATATTAGATCACTTTAGAGGACGGCAGACCATGCCTGACTTCACGATATCAACAACACAGTTGCATGTCTGAAGTGCCTGAGGTATTATGTAGACTCTTGATTAATAACGCCCACCCTCCCGACATGGATTGTCTAACCTCTTGATACCTGGATCTTCCAGCTATGCAACATGTCTGCTGTCGGCGGGGAGTGCCCAGCAGAGAGCGCTTAGCATCCCTGTCTCTCGAAATGGCACAAGCGCGGGTGAGACAAAAACCTTGACTTGCTTGCTTGCTTAGGGATTTTCTCATTGGTTTTTCGAAGTCAAGTGTGATCAAAGACAGCCCAACACGAAACAGATGATTTAGTTTTTGAACCCGTGCACCAGTGCCTGACAGCCAGTTACAGTTGGCTCAGTTGCCTCGACTTTGGTACGGACTTCATTTACCCGCCGAGATGTTGCTGCGTATGATAGCTGCTGCCACGATTGCGGCAGATGTACTTGGCGGCACTACCGTCACGCAGCTCCGCATTGTGGGTGTGGATGGCACAGCCTATGCTTGGAGGACGCCAGGAACGGTTCTCTACTCCGATTCCAGCTGTTCTGTTGAAACGGGTGACGTTGCCACCGAATACTACGCAGCAAAATTGGACTCTGGTGGCAACGAGGAGTACACATGCCCCTGCGGAACATGCACAGCCGCTGAGGGATGTCGGCTTCTTGGTGATTGTAACTACTGGGCTCAGTCCTCTTGCACTGATGGGGGCACTTGCCCAGCAGGACAATGTGTCGTTGTAGTGGGCTTGCCATCCGCTGCAAGCGTGAGGTGCTTGCATTTCTATGAGAACCATCTCGGAACTTACAATAGACACATGGACACCGTGCGCATCGAATACCGCATGTACTGCGAAGAGCAGTGGAGCTCATGGGAAGCGCTTGTGACGACATCTTTGAGTTTCCTAAGCTGGTATGACCCCCACACAATTGACCTGGGACAGACAGTTCCTACGGAATGCCCTGTTTTTCGGCAGCATTCAGTCACACACGTGGGCTGACATAGGCCCTTGGCGGGTGCCTTGTTGTCGGCACTGGCTGTATTTCGTAGATTCTCGCACACTCGTGCACTGATTACGACACTCTTCATGTGAATTGGTCACTTAGCATTGCCGCATTGCCCATCACTGACCGGAACCAAAATCCATCGCACCTTCTTCTAATCACAATCTTCATATCTCTGATTGCTTCTTGCATCACCCAGGGATTCAAGGACTAGTTGTCATTGTGCAGGATTATCCTTTGAATGGCTATGTATGATATGGTATTGTTCCCAGGCATACTTTGGTTCAGATTGGGTTCAGAATGTTCTATATACCCTGGCAATCCATGTATGTCATATATCATGACGGAGCTATGTAGCGTCAGGGACGCTATGGAGGCCATGTATGCAAAAGCAACGTACGGAGTCTCGAAGAGTCTCGGAAGTAGGGCCTCGGAGAACCAAATCTCGTGTAGGTTAATTTTGCCTACAGAAGGTGTTTGGGGGGCTATGTAGGCTCTCAGCTTGACATTCTCAAATGTAGTGATATATGACTGACGGTGGAGTCTCAGGGAAAAACATATATGCTACCCCCCCGAAAACCCACGTTAGCCTTGGATGCAATCATTATTTTGTAATAGGCAAACTATTTGCAGTATTGAAACATTCAAATTAAAGTTAATTCAATCTTTTAAATATGTTCAGAATCTTTTATTATGCTGCATATTTAAAATATTGAACATTTTATTGAAATAAACTTTAACTTACTATTTTCTTTTAATATATAACATTAAATTGATTGCGTTTATATGATGGTTTAAACTTTTTCAATATTTAGACCATGCCCAATATTTAAACTGTTAAACATATTGAATTCAATGGGGTTTGCCAATTCAGGTAATCAATCTGATCTTTCAAACATTGAAACATTCAATTAATTTTAATTCAATGTTTGAAATATTTTAGCTAACTTTCAATAGGCGAACTATTTAAAATATCTAAACCATTAAATTCAATTTTCATTCAATCATTTAAAAATTCTAGATACTGTTGAATAGGCAGAATATTTAAAACACCTAAAATATTGAATTAACATTGAGTTTAATGTTTTAAAATTTTGAAGTGTTTCAAAAATTGAAAAGATTTTTGGAATTGGCAACCCTCTTGAATTAAAAAAGATTGTGTATTTTTCCTATTAAACATATTCAACT